TGGGGGGTATCCATGTATTCGTCCTCATCTATGTCCGCTTGGTAAATTGGAGTAGAAATTTCTTGAATCCGCCCTTTGTAAAAATTGCTTTAGATGTTGCAGATTTCTATATTTACCCAACTTAATCGCAATTGGGCCAGAATATTAAGGATTCAACGTCGTCGCTGCAGTGATGCTTCACGTTTTCCTAGTTTTTTTATGTTTTTTTGAATGGACGACTTAATGAATGCACCGGAATATGAGCTCTTGTGCAATATGAACTTCGGTTGGCCTTTGACATTTTTGACCACTCTATAGTTCTCGTTCGCAAGGGGCATGTTTGTCTGTACATTCCGGATAGGTACTGTGTCCATGTTTCTCTTCTTCTTCTCCACAGTTTACGATGATGAAAGGTGACTGCTTTACTGCTTCACGCCAATTATCAGGTCAACACTGTGTATCGTTTAGGGAAAAACCTTGCTTCTAGATAGAATTTCATTTCATCTGTGTCTCAAAAGTAATTTTTCTAAAGACTCTACAAATTTAATTTCTAACTAGAATTTTATTTCATCTATCAGTAACTTACAAGAGTCACTCCCCACTCTTAAGTCATGTTTGGATACTGTAATAATAAATTTCTAAGGTGATAAAAGGAAAGAGGTTCATTGAAACATGTATTTCTCACAAGTATCATTAATAAGGAAAGTGACCCAATTGAATCCCAAATTTATAGAAAACGGAGAGAGGAGTTTATGATCCCAATTCAATAAAATAGCTTTGCCTGAAACTCAAAACTGATATTGTTCAGATGTATACAAGGCAGAAAAATCAATGCAACTTTTCCAAATTTCAATCCAATTCTCAACTACCATATCAATTTTTGCTTCTCTAAATTATATGAATAAAGAAACCTTTATAAAAATGGAATTCATGGTAATTCGTATAAGTGACTTTCCGCATTTTAGAGTACAGAGAGTAAAAAGTTGATCACAGAATGAAAAAATAGTACGATTGGAGGCCTTGGATACATCATTGGGAGTTCCACAGGGTTAGTATACTTGGTCCAATACTGTTTATTATATTCATCAATGATATAAACAAGATTTACTCATACACAAATGAAGTTCACATTTATGCTAATGATAATGCTTTTATCACAAGCACTCACTGTGTCCTGTAATTGGATATAGTGCCAAACAGGCACTAGACCCAATTACAGGTCACAGTATACAATTTTTGGATAGAAGTGTTAAATATAGGAAATACATGGTATGATGCAAATGTATAGAAAAAATTCGATATTTAAAAAATAGGCGTCTTTTGGAAGAAATCCAAAAACACGTCGACTGTAATTTTTGACGGCCCATCTTATAATATACACATGAGAGACGTTTCGTCACCGTTGTTGGCGTGATGACGTAAGTAATCGAAAATTTTTTTGAAATGCAAACAGGGTCATGTGGCACCTCTTTCAAAATGTCTACTAATCGTTTATTCGGTATAATTATTCCAATATTTATTTATACAGGGTGAACCAAAACTTTTATTCATTAAAATACAATGAAATTATAATAAATGTTCAAATTGATGCCCGTCAGCAATGATGATTTTGGTAAACTTTGCTCTATAAGTATCCCCATAAATAAGTCTAACGGGGCCAAGTCCGGAGACCTTGGTGGCCAATCGATCGGTCCTCTTCTTCCTATCCACATACCTCGGAAAACATTATTCAGGTAGGTTTGTACATCATCGGTGTAGTGGGGGCGCCCCATCCAGCTGAAACCACAAATCTTTTCTATTTGGAAATACCTGATTCAGTTGTGGCATTAGATAACCCTGAAGGAAGTTTCCTCAAAAAAGTATGGCCCTATTATCTGGTTGTTCAAAATTCCGGACCAAACATTCGCTTTTTGTGGATATTGTGTGCTATGCTCCTCAATCAAATGTTGATTTTTTCTTGCCCAGCATCGATACCTCTAACGGTTTACCTGATCGTTGAGCAAAAAGTAGCTTCATCTGAAAATATTACATTTTGTATGAAACTCCGATCTTTATACGGATGCCACTTTTTTTTCAGCACTCTAACAGTCGATTGGTGCTACTTGCTACGAGCTGGTATGGGGGTTTTCTTGGAACGCAATTACCATGTCAAGTTTTTTGGCTTCTAAAATTGATTTTCTACCACTTTTATGGAGATCTTCAACATGGCACATTTTTCGAAATTTTCTCTCACTTTTACTAATTGTTGATTGAAAAACGGGTTCTACTGCCTTGAGTCCTTCCTGTATCTCCACAGGCAATCATAATTAAAATTTCAATTCGTTCGTTTTCTGTACGTCTCATTGCAAGATTATGAGTGATTTAAATATTTTTATACAAATAATGTCAAACGCTTCAATGACACTTCACTTCAATGACATTGACTAATTTCAAGTAGAGTGTAGAACTTTTATCAATCAATGCATTTCTTTTTCCAAATCAACAAAAACAATAGAAGACACTACAATGTTTTATTCCCAAACACAACCCTCCAAACCCTCTGATGTACCAACTCACTGGTATTATCCCTATTGAGGAAAGACTACCGTCATTTACTCAGGAGTTTGCTAGAAAAGACGACAATGTAGAAATTATTAGAAAGTATGCTGTGACAAGAAACCCCCTTGCAAGAGTACGACATCGCCACCCAACAGAAACACTGTTATAAAAATTAACACAATGTTATCAATGAAATTGTTTGGTTTGTTCATTTTTATATCCATATAATATATATCAATTCGAGTGAGAGTGAACAAAGCACTCACGTCGAACCGCCTGGCTACAATATATATACCGGGTGTCCCACATTTTATGTGACAGGCAATATCTGGTTTGTTGAAGGAGATACACAAAAATGTTTCATACAAAAGTTTTAGGAGAAAGATTACTCGCGTTTAGCCTACTCCCAAAAAGGGCAAGAAAAATTTTCCAAATAACTAAAGACTAGTCGCTTTGCTTTCAGTGTTATCAAAAATCATATGGCTTTCGAAAACAAATATCAACATGGAGAGTCAAGAGCTATAGCGCTTGATATTTCTAAGGCCTTTGACTATGTGTGGCATGAGGGTTTGCTGGCCACACTTCGATGCTATTGCTTGTCGGATCGTTTTTGTGTACGGCTCTCCAGCTTCCTGAAAGAATGTTCCCTGCAAATAGCCGTCTGCTATGATCAGGTAAACCATAACCGAGAAACATACATGAGATGTTTTAGTGACTATAATATTGAGAAGTTTTCTAGTTTACTATTGGGGATTGGTCTTCAGTGTATGACTCGCTGCAAATTCCAAGTTTGATAGTCTTCATAATACAGTTTCCTATTATTTTGACACTTCATTTCCAAAAAAGTTAGTCAAGATAACGAAATTTGTGGACTCTAGGTGGATAACTACTCAGTTGAGAGAAATAAGTAGGTTAACTGAGTTATATAAGAACGGGAATATCAAGAACTTAAATCAATATATCAGGCTAAATTGAAACATGCTAAAAAAACTTGCAATGATGATGATAGAATCTCTTCTGCTGACAATAAGGTGAAAGAATCCTGGAAAATCATCAAGGAAGCTCAGAATATACTGGCAATGCCATACCTTGTCTACAAAGTGCTGAAGAAGATGGTGACCGTCTTTCTGATAATTTTGCTATATGCAACCTTTTCAGTGATTATTTCTCAACTGTCAGTAGTAGCATATCCAAATCAGACACTAAAAATATCAATTATTTGTCATCTTCTCATCAAAGTTTTATTTATATCCAGCAACTAAAATGGAAATTGAACAAATTATCAAAAAAGTTTGTAAGAAAAAATCGTCCGGTATTGATGAAATTCCTGGTCATGTTATTATAAAGGTTGCCAATGTGATTTCTGAGCCTTTGACTCATTGCAGTTTTATGGTTTATGTGGCTCTGCATTAAATTGGGTTGAATCAGCCAGTATTTTATGATGATGTTATGTTTTTTTGTCTAATGTGATTGTGAAGGAAAACTGATTCAATAAATTTTTGATTGATGGATATCTCTCAAATACTTTTACCATCAACGCTGGTGTTCCCCAGGAATCCATATTGTCTCCAACACTCTTTTTATTGAATATCAACAACCTATTGGAAAAAACGAAGAATCCAATATATTGCTTTTCTGCTGACAGCACACTTGTCTCGTCATTCTATTTGGATTCCAGGACATTGACAGCCGATGCACATCTTCATCAGCAGCAGGAGGATCTAGAAGTGATTTCGAATTGGGGTGAACCTAACCAGGTTCAATTCAATGCCACAAAACTCATACTCATGCTTAGGTTTTAACCAAAAAGATAAATTTCTCCGAACCGGATATAATAATATCAGGATAGACAATTCTGCTTTCTGCTTCGATACGTTTGTTGCGGGTTAAAATGAACAGCGATATGTCTTGGCACAATCATGTTTCTGAAATTGCAAAGGCTGCTTCTCAAAAGTTTGGAACACTATTCTGAACTAGAAAACTGTACATACCTCAGCAACTTTTTGATGCTTTATAAAGCTCAGATCAGACCTTCTTTGAAGTATTGTTCTCATGTATATGCATTGAGCTCTGCCCCTAAGCATACCCTGAAGCTGCTGGATTCCATCCAGAAAAGAAAGTGTTCAACTGACTTGGCACATTTGATTTCACCAAGAGCGGAACATAGAAGAAGTATGCGACGGACTGTGGTTGCTCATCGTTTTCAGGTTCAACTCTGTACACCTTGAACTTCACTGTTTAAAAACTCTTTCATTCGGAGAACTGCGTTTATGTGGAATAAACTTCCTGAGAATGTTTTTCCAAATGGATTTAATCTCCAGTAATTCAAATCTAATGTAAATTGCAACTTTCGCACAAGCACCGCTCTTAGAGCGCCTTAAGGATTTTCCTGTAGTGCTTTTGTTTTGTCCTTACTATATGCATTTTCATATAAATGAATGAAAACATAAAAACAAAAAGGGTTTTGACAAACAATTTCGAAACAAATACTTCTATATGAAATATATTTATGTTTTCTGTAGAGTGCAGGCGCCAGTACTCTCAGTGCTTCAATCTGTTGAATAAAAACAGTATTGCAGTAAGATAAATTTCCCCGTAGAATAATTCCAAAGTTAAGGTGACAACAAAACAATGAAAAAACTACCATTTTCAGAGTTTCAGTTATGAAATATGTTTTAATCTGAACTCACCTGTACTTATCTTGTACTTTTTGTTTAATATCAGCAAGGTTTTCAGACGTAATATCCCTCTCCAAGTACTCCGACAAAGTTTCAGTAGCACCCTCTAGGTCTTTCTGGTTTTCTTCAAAAATCACAGACTGATTATTTTTTTGCAAGTAGTAGGCAAATACATAAGTGAACATTAAAGTTTGTCTACACTGACAAAGTATATCAACGGCTTTTTTCAAAAACTGCACCTCAATCCAACTCATATTATGCTGTTGCATTTCTTCCATTTTTTCTTTAACTGATGCATACAACTTGTTTTCAAATTTTAGAGAAGCCATATGATTCATATATCTATTACAATAAAATAAATAACGTTGTAAAGCAGACCGCGATCTTTCTTGTGCATCACGAGCTGCTTTAGCTTCATCTTCGTCATATCTATTACAATTATACCAGGAACTGCCATGTGGTTCCCATGGACCTAAGCATACCCAACAAAAATCAGCTTTACAGTTTTGATTTTTACACACCATATGATTGCAACCTCCATCTTTTTCTATAGTTACATTACACCTAGGGCATTCTTTGGTATTAGCGGCAATCCAGTTGCTCGTCTCGGAGTCGTCATCACACTTTTTTATCCATTTTTTCAACAAATGACACTTTACTGGATCGTGCCAATTTTCTCCACAGGCAAAACAAAATGTGTGATTACACTTGCAGGTTACTCTGAGTGCCTCAACATGCTGGACCTTGATTGCATTACTACAGTCTGGGGATGGACACCATCTCAATAAACGATTACACTGAAAATCAAAATTCTTGTCTGAATTGGTCAATAACGTGATATAGTTATAATAAATACTATATAGAACGTCATTCAACTTAATACTAAAGTAATTCATGGGAAAGAGAGGTTTTGGCTTTCTACTTCTTATCTATATACAAAAACGTGGGAATCTTTCAAAGAAAGGAATAAAGCAAATGATTTCAGAATCAACTCTTTACAAAAATGTGCAAATAATGCAAAGAAGTATCTTTCAGACACAAACTGGATGAAAAAGCCCCCTCGAAAAAACTACTTCCATATAAACATGGAATTACACAAAACAAAAAATACTTTCAAAACAACTAATTTCATATGAACATCGAATTATATAAAAAACACTTTTTTCCTTATCAGTTTGTACTCCAAATATTCATTCCGCTAGGTGGCATTAGGCGTAATTAAATATTTGGAATTACCGCGTTGGTTCGAGAAAGTTCTGGTTCTAGCTAGTGTATTCCGATCACCTCGAGATGGCAGTAATAATTGCATATAAAAAGGCTAGCGACGCAACTGCGAATTAGTCTGCGTAGGAAAGGCGAAGGAAGCGAAACCTGTCTATTGTGAAATAAAGTAACACCCGTCAATAAAAGTATTTTGATTTGACTTATTGTTTTTATGTGTGATTTGTTAGTATNGCACGGGTAGGACGGCTCTCGGCTCGTGCCACCATTTCATCTAACGGTCGATTGAATGAATGGAACAACACACTTATGCCATTCCAAGTAGCTAATCTCCCGATAGATGTGGTCAAAAAAAGATCAGGCAGGGAGTACTATAGAATATTCTTTCAAGACAGTACCAAACATATTTAAAAATAATTGAAATATAAACTCTGTGAAATCGTATAAGAAATTTATATATTTATTTATTCATTTACAGCATTACCTATTTTAACAAAATAATTACCAAATTCGCACATATGTACTATAACTATCAGCTAGATGTGAGGAAAAAAATATAAAAAAAGCAAAAATAAGCCAATCACTTACAATCTTTTCAGTCTTTCAAAATTATTCCAAAGAAGAATTGAACAGTTCTAAATTCACATTGTGAGTGTTAGCAAGTCTCAAAATTCTACCTATAGACCCATTCTGGCCATACTTAGTATGATGAAAGGGTACTTGGGAAATTTCTGTATTTCTTGTTCTCTTTGGATTCTCATTTGAAGTTATAAGTTCAACAAGTTCTGGGGAATCAATGCTACCATTGATTATTAGCGTTGCGATCTGATTCTAATTTTCTATGAGCCAGAGTATTCAAGATAAGAATGTCCAATACAGTTTTATATTTATATTTACCAATTTGATATCCCAGTTTGTATGCAGAGTACCTTGAAAACTTGTTTTGAACTCTTTCAAGCATAACAATATGCACATTATATGAAGAGCACCAAATTTTGGAATTGTATTCAATTATTGATATAATAATTGAGCAATCAATATATGATTTTTAAGAGAGAGATAAATTCACTGAAGATCTAAGAGTGAAACCTAACATTTTTAGCGCAAAAATCCCATAAATGGACTGTTTATGGGATTTTTGTTACGAAAAAAAGTAAATTGATGACATTTGTCTAAATTCAATTGCAATAAGTTTATATCACACTAGCGTACAAAGTTAGATAAATCACACTGTAATAATTCAGTATCAAATGAGTTATGAATAACTTTGTACATCTTCAGATCATCAGTAAACAGAAGAAATTCTCTAGAGAGAATAACATCTTTCAAGTCATTTACAAATAGGTTGAAAAGTAATAGTCCTAAATGAGATCCCTGCGGTACACCAGATGGGACTGTGATTAAGGAAGATATTGAGTTACTATATTTCACATATTGAATTCTGCAGGGAAGATAATTTTCAATCCATTTCAGAATGTTTTCCAGAATACCCAAAGCGTTTAGTTTATGCAACAACAAACTGTGATTTACTTGGTTGAATGCATTTGAAAAATCTGTGTAAATACAATCAACTGGTAGATCTACCATGACTGAACCCATGTTGCTGCTTATGATTATATCCCATGATAGCTTTTTTGTCATTAGGAAATTCAGATTGATTGTGGAAACTGCTCGATAATTTTCAATGTCAATATGTGATCAACTTTTATAAATAGGTTTCAAAAAAACTGTTTTTCCAATAATCTGGAAAGATGGAATATTTCGAAGAAATGTTGAATATCATGTGAACGGGTTTGGCCAGGGTAAAAATGCATTTTTTAATCAAGAATAGCTTATTGATACCTGCAGACAACTTCCAAGGTAATGACATGACCAGTTCAATAATTTCTTTAACATCAACGCTACAACTACATATATAAACTATCTTACTGAATTTATATTCTGGAATTTGGTTAACTGTTTCATCACTATAGACAGATGAGAAATAGTGTGCAAATAGATTTACAATATCATTGTTATTTCCAGTTACAGAATTATCATACCTAATACATTTTGGATGGTAGGAAGTGTGTTTATTTTTGGTCATCAATATCATTCCAGAAACTTCTGGGATTATTGTTGATGTTATTTTCTAATTTATTTATATCATCTA